TTATGATGTACATGTTTTTTGATAGTATCGTTTTAAAAAACAAAACCTTTCTATCCTATCGTGAATCACTAATTTATGTGCATTTAAACGAAAATCAGGGTTGTTCCATCGGTAGACAGATAACTTTTGCTAGCTGTTTCGACACTGGGGCTGACACTCAGTCTTCACGCCCCCCCCCTCCACCCCCTATGAGCCAGTCACCTGTAGCATAGCATTACAATGAGTTACTTTTCATAACCATCATCACTTTAAAGTGAAATTTCTTTATTATTTTCATGTGGTGCTAGAAAAGTTCCTCTTCACGTCCAATGCAGTCTATATTTGCTTTTGTAGTCTACAATAAATGATTCGGTCAACAACAAAGTGTTGGTTTGTTTTGTTGCTGTCTACTATATTGATCTTGTTTATTCTACTATTGATACCTGTGTATCTCATTGTTCGTTGTCACTGCCCATTTAGATATGTGTAGTATTGTTTCATGTACTATACCGTTTCACTAAAGGTGTACATAGCTTAGTCATACATAAGGGAGTGAATAATTTTAGTTTCGTATAGTATTTATGAATTTTTGTATTGTTTATCTATGAACTGAAGACGCATGAAATCTATTAAATGACCTCAGGTTGTGCTGTGACTTTATAGTGTATTGAATGTATGCAATTTGATGGTTATTATGGCCTAAGTAAGACAGCTAGTGTAGCTAACTCGCTAATTTTATTTTTAGTGTTATACCTAGTTTGGATCAAAAATTGTAGCCTTGCAGCCTTACACTGTTCTTGCATGAGATACACTGTCAATATTTCTCAAAACCAAGATACTTTTTCGGTTCTGATGACATGGTGACTATATGGCTCATTGACTTGAGCACTCGACATCTCATGCACTGGGCCCCAGGTTCAAACCTTATTCCACCTACTTCGGCTTGGGCGACGGAGTGCAGTCAAAAGCCCTATAACCTAGTACATAAATTGGTACTGGGTTGAAGTACATTATATATTATCTCGTGACTTCATACAAAGAATAGCATGAGTTAAGAAAATATTCACTACTAAGTTTCATCTAAATGACACAGTAGTAACTTGATGTTCGCGAAACACAGATCTGCTTTTGGACTGTAGAAGGAGTAAAGGACAAAAGCTTATTAAAGCTGCCTAATTATTTCGAAACAGCTCTCTGAAGCTAATGCCTTTTAGTGGTTTTCTCACTATTATTATTTCTTGATTAGAACTGTTTTCAAGTTCCTGAAACTACTGAAATGAATACAAACAAATCACTTAAACTTATGTTTCGTCCTTTAGAACAATGATAAAACTGATGTTTCAGGTTATATTTGGTGAGGAGATAGATTGGATGTTACTTCATGTAACAAAACAGATATATCCATCACTAAAGACTGCTAAATGAAAGTTATACAACCGTGTAATAGTTTACAACAGGAGTCAACGAAACATTCACTGAAAATTAAGAGTACTCTGCAGCCTTTTTGTTCTGTTTTTGGGTTCTCAGTAGGATTCATGACGCTTTTCAGTTTTCAGACTAAGATATACGCGTGGTGTGCTGCGTGTGCTCGCATCTCCACTTCTCTGTCCAATAAATACTTCGTTATTCTTATCTCAAACCTCATAATTCTTCTACTATATTTCTCATTGTCAACCGAATTTGATGGACACCAAGCGCAATCAATTTAAGTTGATCATCTCGTAGAATGAACTGTCTTTTCATCTCACAAAACTATACCAAGCCTTGGTCTTTGTAGTACGGTATCCAATTTTCAAATAAATTGCTCTTTAATTGTCATGACATGTTTTCCGATGGGTGGGTCACCACAAACAAACTTGAGCATTTTCATTAATTCAAATTGTAGGCTATTCCTTCTCCTAAATGATGAATTCTGTCAGCAAATATAGCCGATTCTTTTTTTAATTTATGATTAGGTCACGTTATTTGGATTCACAGTTTGTTTATGCTCTTGCACATGTAACACTGAAATTTAGTCGTACTGTTTACTTTTAATTTTTGTCTCAATGAGATACGTTTTTGATCAGATTCATGTGACATTATAACAAGTTTCAATATGATAAAAGTAATGTTTAATGCTTTTTATTTCCATCAACTCTATGTTATTCACATTAGTGAGGGATTTTACATTTTATAGCAGACTTTTTATTCACTGACTGGTTTTGTTAAGCAATGTAACTTAGCAACCATATACAGTTGCATGCATTTGGCAATAAGCCACACCTTTTATACAAGGGATAACGATGCCATCTGGTTACCACAACCTTGGTAGCTGAAAAAGGTACTGAACCTTAAATTAATTAACCATAGCATCACCTCGACTGCATGTATCCAGTATTAAAGCCTAAGAAGTATAGGTTATATTATCGGTAATTTTATTTAACGAATTTTTAAATACCAGTAGGACTCATCAACTGAAAACTTCACATACCTTCAATTTAAACATACTTCCATGGTCGTTGTGGTGGCCTAACGGATGGCTTTATACTTCCTTGTAACTAGGAGGTTTGACCTATTTTGATTTACTAAGTGAATTCACGATCCAGTCTTCAGATATCTGAAAACTTTCATGAGTCGTCATGCTAAATCATTTATTGTCGTTCCTCTCTTTTCACCAAATATAAACAAATAAGCCTATTCAATGCCAAAATCCCAGAACTGTGGAAGAAAATGAAAATACTGAGTCAGATATGATTTCATGCTTTTCGATAGTTAGCGTGTGTTGACTCTATAAAATAACTGATACATTTGTGTTTAATAAAGGAAGATTTGGGTGTATTCTACAAAATTGAAACCAGTAAGTGCGCCGCACGAAACAACATTATGACAAAATAAAAGCGATATAAAAGAAAGGGAACGAAAGTAAGTAACCGGATCGTCGAAGAAGTAGTCTCATAAAATATGTGCAAGGAAGCGTTCATTACTTTCGTCTTATTTTTCGATAGCAGGAAAAACCAAAAGGTCATAGCGTGATTACTGTGAGTTTAAATTCTGAGTCATATCTGGTGAAATCTCAAGTCACAGAGTCTCGTGACCTCACAGACCTTATCCAGTTAGTCATGATGATGCATTAACAGATTCTAATACTACATAGCTGTCCTTCATCCCATGCCGCATCGTCATGCAATAAACACCCCTTCGCTTCTCCCATCTTTTTCCAAGGGCAGCAACCAGCGAATGGTATCGAAGCTGCTAAGATGACATTCATATTACACGCCCATGCACTCGAAGGCCAGTGTTTCACAATGAATGGTGGTCTTCACCGAACCTCAGAATAATTTCCATGGTTTTCTCATCAGACGCAAGCTTTCTTTTAAACACAAAGGTCATTAAACACAGAGTCCTCGTTGATGCAAATCACGCACCATACTGACGAACACTCATCTCCAAGTGATTAAGCGCTGTTGGAGAGGCTTGCACGTTGTCGCACAGTAAGTCGATAGCGTTAGTATACCCATGGTCATAAACTGTCCTACCTGATAACTGGTTTACATCAACAACATGCACCTCCTTCAGAAGTATCTCAAGAGTGTCATCGATGGCAAGGTTAACGCGGAATGGCGGAATCGTGCCTCCCTGTTTAATCCCACTGTTAGTTTGGAACAATGAAGAGAAGTAGCCGTATTCTCTCACTCTACCTGAGGTGTTTGCTTAAGGGTACCCAAGATGCTAACAAACTTCTCAGGGATACGTCTCTGTAACAGTCAACCTCAGACCAAAGTCCTGTCCAACGATTCGAAAGCAGTAATAATTTCACGAAACGATGTTTGTTGGTTCGCATCAAGTATGATGGCGATCAAGCCTCTAGGGGATGTTGGGCACGTGGCCAATGCATCCACAAACGGAACGAAACTAAGTTTACCCTTCGTGAATACTTCTCATCTTTTAGCTAAATCAGTAAAGCATGATAGAAGCAGAATAAGATTGATGTAATCAACAGTATCCTGGTTTTTACGGCAAGCAGGCCCTTTCAGCCGGTTCAGAATGATGTAAGCTTTGGATCACCGTTTCACTTATTTGACTATGAGCTCATCACTAAAATCCACTCTCGTTGACTCATCTCGGAACTTAAACTGTTAGAATCACTTTAATTTTGGCCAGTTACTCAAAAGGACCACTACTTACTACCTCTAAGACACAAAATCAAGAGGTGTTTAAAAGATTCTCTATTGCATATGGAAATTATATGACTTGATAAAAACTTATTTTAAGATTTCAGCAAACATGAGGTGGTTTGAACAAGTCTACTCCCTAAACTGAATCGGTCGAGATGAAAATGATTATCTTGAGGTTGCACTCGAATAGCGACCACTAGTGATCGACATGAGTGGTTTCTAAACATTCATTTTGTTTATTATCCTCTCATCTACGCTTGCATTCGTGACGTCATCGACGTCCGATTTTGTGATCCCCAGTTTTTTCCAAATTGTAAATAAAAGCATGATGGGATATTACCAATGGTTTTCACCTAGTAGCATCATTTCACCAGTAACTATGATGTTTGACTACAACTGCTGTAATTCTATGCCCCTTCAATTTAGCGAGTATTGTACCGTAAGTACTCAATTCCACTGATAGAAGAAATGAAACTCATTCTGCATGTGCAATAGTAATCACATCAATAGCAAAGAACAACCTTTACCATGTAATAGCTTTATGTCTATCAAGATCTCACAAAATATATACACAAGATGTCTTGACGGTTGAAAAGTAATTTTCCTTCGGTGGTAAGTTTTGAGTTGTCGGAAACATTGTAGATGACGGAGCCAACAAATGATTACTGTAATGAAACGCTTCGTGATCTGAAATGTATGATAAAACATCTCGTTTAAGTTCTGTGTTATTGGTTATTTATTATTGTTATTATTATTATTACTATTCTCATGATACTGTTCTATCATTTCGTCTTTCTCATCGGTATTTATATTACTAACACTATGAATGTTATTATTATTATTATTACTCTCATTTTCATTATATAGGTGAATATGGACTTGAAGTATATGCGAATGAACCGGCTGAAGGTGACACATATACACATATGTGTCAGTATTTGATTCACTATGAGCATCCTCCAGGTTGGTATTCCACTCCTCGATTAACGGCTTCAGGTGCTGATGCTGGCCCATCTCCAGACGCTCATCAAATTTGGCGTCATGGTGTTGTTGGTGATACACGTAATGGAAATGCACCAAAACGTTTTTCCCCAGGCTTTAATGAACAACAAACAAGCGGTTCATTAAGAGAAATGTACAATTATGAATTAGATGCACCACCAATGGGTCATTTGCCTAAACTCTATGCGCATTCACAATATGGAAATGCAAATAAGGTATGTAGTATGTATATCTGTTGTAATCTACGGCGTTAATTGTGTGTAACTAGGACACACTTTCTTGTTAGCTGGTGATTATGCTACATAAATTGTTTTCAACTTGCTTTGGTGATGATACTTCGTACATTGTGTATCAGTTAGTATTATAGGCTGATCTGCAATAATGCGAAAAGTGTTTGGGTTGCCTTAGATTTAGAAGGACGACAACATAGACTATATACTAAACTTCGAAACTTAGGATTTTAAATTCATGTATACTTTAGATACTTTGATTAGAACAGATGCACGGTGTAACTGGAGGTATAACTCTAGTTCATCCACCATTTTACCTGATAAACAGTCATTGTTCAATGCATGATCATACAGATATAATAACCGCATCCTAGATTTATTTCACTTAAACAAGGATAAGCAGTAACTATTTTTGTAATGTAAGAAAAAAGCAACTTCTACTGACCCCTATGCCGTTTTGAATTGCAACGACTCAAAGTGATGCATCTGTGTGTCAGCCACTTTAAGTAATCTTAACTAACCAGTTCTTATTCATTGTATTGAAAATTCTTCATTGATAGTAACTATGGCTAAAGGCAAGAACATATCATACTATATATATATATATATATATATATATATATATATATATATATATATATATATATATATATATATATATATATATATGTATATATATATATTGCTTGATTTTGTGTGAAAATATGAACAACAACACTAATAATTCATCTCATGGCATTTCTATTGAATGTAAGCTTTGTGTGTATGGTTTTTTCGATAGTCTATATGACCTGACATTTTTGTTTTTAGGTTACATATAGTACCCTAATCTGTACACTTTTTTTAAAGAATCATGAGATTCTCTTATAATATTCAAAATGTTATGGAATCAATACTAAGTGTTATATTTCCTTATGTGAGCTAGGTAACTATGTAACTAAGCTAAAATGTAGACATGATCGACCTGTGTAACAATAATACCATGACTTATATGAACGACTAATCACTAAACCATTAGCGAAAACGATTTGGCAGTTTTGTCTCAGATACTGAAGGTTCTGTCGACACTTTCTAACACCATATAATAACCACGTCAACCAGATATTTAGATACATGGCATTATTTTGGTGTGCATCTCACCAGAATTGTATGTTTTGCGCTGAGTTTGTGAGGCTTGGAATGCAAAAATAAACGACATAAAACAGTTTTAAGAGCGTCACTGGCAGATACTGGTACTTGATATAACATTTTAAGCAGAGTAATTCACTTCGTCAAGTTTTCAAGGCGTAATGAGGGAAATAGTTGATGGGTGTTACTCACTCCCAGTCACCACCTGGTGGTTAGACGAAATCCCGTACTTACCTGGCCTGCCCAAAATATCGTCTACCTATGTAACCCTGTCTAACAGTAGAGGGCGAGATATTTGAATGCGTTGACCACTTCACTCACCTGGGAATCCGGATCATCCCTGGTGGGTCAGTGATCGACGAAATCGCTGCACGGATACAAAAGGCTCCCTCGACTTTCGCCAACTTATGCCATCTGTGCTGCCGCCGCGACATCCGATTACCTATTAAGGGTTGAGTATACTGTTCAATCTGCTCTACTGTATGAGTGTGAAACATGGTCACCAAAGATAGAGGACATAGGAAGGCTTCAGGTGTTCGAACATCGTTGCCATCGTAGCATAGGCGGTTTATCCTGGTGTCATCACGTGAGTAATTCAGAAGTCAGGTGTAGAGTTTACGGAAGAAGAGTGAAGTCAGTGGATGCGGTTGTGAACCTTCATTGACTGAGATGGCTGGGACATGTGCTACATACGCTTAGTCACCTTGTCTCACTATTTTGACTTAAGTAAGTTCAGGCTGGCTAAAGTTTGGAGGTGGCCAGACTAAAAAATAGCATCAGTCCATGAAGTCTTTGACCGTCGGTCTAAGGCGTGTGGGAAAATAAAGACCTCCCAGTTGAGATGCACATGAAAAAAGAAACCAGTGGTTGGAGACTGGTTGTTATGGCGCAGAATCAATCTCAGTGGCGTAGAAGTATCCACATATTATCTTCATCCTAATCATTATACGGAATTCAGCATTTTCTTATTCCTCCTTTCTCTCATTTGCCACTTTCTTCTTGATCTTTGTCTTTATTCATCATACAGTAAATGATACTGTTTCACTGTGACTTTCTAATAAATTGACTTGAATGGAATTACAATCTACCACAGTGCCCGAGTTTTACTACTATACTACTGCTTTCTGGCTTGATTCGCTGAAATGAGGTGTGATAACTGGTCCTGGTCCTATTTTCTTGATGATGGTGATGAAAATCAATCTGGTAATGCTGACTAGATTATACAACAGTTTTGTTGCATGAAAACTCAGTCCTATCGTTGTATACCGTTTTACGTTTCAGATGTATGCATCTGTATTAGTGAACTGTATGAAGTTGTGTGTGATATGGTGTCATGGGGTTTAAGGTAACTTTTTTCAAAGGTTAAATCAATAGTGGTCATGTTATTTATGGTTAGATGGGTCTTTATTCATATTTAATCTTTAATGTCACACTGATTTATTTAATCAACAGCTGGGCAACATGATTGGTAAATTCACATATTCTACTTTCTTTTCTCTTTTTCTCACCTGGTTTCACATGTTTTTGTTGCTATTATTTAGTGAGATGATATAATCTTTCTGCAGGCTTACTTAAAATTCTTCCAAGCTCTAATTTCTTTAGTCATTTTCTATTTCTTCCCCTTCGTTTGGTCGAATTTTGTTTTCACATACCACAATATCTCAGTTTATTGTTTTCCTCCATCAACATTTAAGCATTTTATCAGAAGCCTCGATTGATTTGTTTTGGCTGGAAAATATACACTATTTCTCCCTTTTTCTCTACACCTAAGAGATAGCTAAAGTCGTAGGCGAAATAGAAAGTCAGTAGTGTGGACATTTGCCTACCAATTTTAAGGTCATGGGTTCACTCGTAATTTTTTCACCTAATTCGGTCTGGCTAATTGGAAAGTTTTTTATATTCTCATACAGCAAATATTGTGTTTATTATCAGCAAGTCCGATAAAAATGAATAGATTTCTTCCTTTAAAATTATTAGGAATAAAACACGATTTTGATACTGAATGGTGATTGAAGGTGAAGTGGAAATTCGGACAGCGACGGGACTCAAACCGGGGACCGCGAATCCAGTAGTCGCTGGTTCGAATCCCGCCACGGTCCGAATTTCCACTTCACCTTCAATCATTACCCAGCATCAATACTAGTCTGCCAAACCATGGATATCTCAGATAGTTAAAATGACGAACAATTTTGGTATTCGGTTTTTGGGGTATACTTTTTGAATTCTGTTGTGCTGAAAATGTTAAAGATGCCATAGAAGAAAGGGTGATGAAGTAAGTTTTATTTCCAAAGAGATATTAGTCGAGAGGAACTTGGGTAGGAAATTGACTCTGAGGTGAAGGTAGTTTAGAGGATGTTACACACGATGAGCTTTAAACATAATTACTCCGACCATGCATTAACACTTCTAAGTCTGATCGATTTCATAGTGCTTTGTGGGTCAGATTCTTCAGTCTTTTCCATTTTCCACAACCCATTATATTCAGCTTCATCTTACACTGTTGATATCCTCGCGTTTATAGTTTCTACCAGCGAAGTCCCACTTACTGCCGTCACACGGTCGGGGTGTTTCCATAAAAATGAGAAACCAAAGGCGAATGTCTAGTTCTTATAACCGGATTAGCGGATATTGAAGGTTTACCTAGAAGAGTTGGAAAACCTTTATCCCAAACAAGTGGTGCACGTAGGCTATAGGATCCAAAACAGACGAATAGCGTACGCGCTAAATCTGGTCACCGGCAAGCATGAGAGAGCAGCAATCTATTTTGTTCCACTGTTGTGTAGATGAGATTTCAAGTCAAAAACTCGATCATTGCTCCCTAATAAAACTACCTGCTTCAGTCTAGGCGTCCGGACAGTATCATAGCACATATAAAAATGATAAAATTACACTGGAATAGAAGACTGCTATCTGTTGTTCGGACTTTTTTAAAGCACTGAAATCTGAATTACAAAATTACTTCCACAAAGATGTTACATAGTATGATGTCTGATTCAACTATTCTGAATCCATGTGCATTATTAAAGCTAGTTACCTTCAGTGTTTGGACCTTGGTGGTGACCGGACAACGAAAAGGTTTGGTTAGGACTCTGGAAAGCTTCACCATCGATTTTGTAGCAAACTTCAGAGACCTGCATAAATGATCCCAGTTAGGTGCTTCGAATAACCTTCCCATCTGTCAGATCCCAACGTGTATTCACAATGCATTTATCCGAGCACCCTATAGAGTCATCAAGAAGCCTTGCTAATGTTGATATCGCCTTAAATGTCACCTGAGACTGCACTATTCGACTGGATTTCCGTCAACTGTTGCCCGTGTACTGTTAGGCTAAAAGGCTTTACCAGGGTCAAAAGTAACTGGTAAGTAAGATGATTTCTCGTTATCATCTCAGCTCATGTCCCTACTGGCTGAAACTCAATTCCAGTTACGAATTAGTTCTACTGTTAGTTGAGTGACCATCTCTGTTAGGTGCGCTCGACAGATATCACAATGCGAGCTGGCTACTTGTATGGACAGGTTGGGTGTCTTTGTGTAGATGGGAGGATCGTTGGGGTGACTGTTTGGTCGGTTACAGGTTAGATAGCTGTTGAAATCTCCTGCAGCTCTGCTCACATCGTAACTTGTTAGCAGTTGGTACCAATTTTAGTCACAGCCATCGTTGTTGCACCACCTGGGGTCGTCCCTCTGCCACTCATGTTGGGACTTAAATGGGTCACATCGCAATCAGCTACCGATCGCGTGATCGTATTCAGGACTGCCGCTCTTTCTGAGGAAGCCGTATGATCTCTAATCACGCTTTAGTGTACACTAAGTTCATCTTGTTTCTGTGGTCATCAAAATTATCATTTGAACGGGTTGACGTTAGCAAACTGGTTGCAACTAGTATCGCAACTAAATACCGAAGTGGGCTGAATTCAAGGCTAGATGTAGAACGTCCAGAAAGCATAGAAGGGTATCGGCTGCAATTACAAGACGTCATAAAAATGGCGAGCATAGCTGCCTGTGACTTTTAAGAATGTCCCACTTGTAAACACTGGGGCGTTTGCAACTTCTTGACAATCGTTGGTGTATTTGGGCGGACAGTGAATTCACTGGTGTGTAAGTCCCTTACTCGATAGACCGAACAGTACTTGCGTAAGGACCACAAAGCCTGGTGGTCAGAATCTGAGAGTCCGGTGGAATCAACAGCTACATCAGGCAATAGTCAGGAGTTATTCCAGTTTACCCGAGACACTGATAGTAAGAGGCTTTTTTTTTTACAGTGAAATGGTCTGAAATAGATGGTGCACTAACATTTGTGGGTGTTTGGAATGCTGGACAGTACAATTTGAGATGCTATTCAAGCAATCAAATCAATATCAAAATAGGACTTGACATTACTGCACTACAGTCCAAGTTGCCACATCTCATATCAACACAACAAGTAACAAAGCAGTAAAGTGAAAGATGAAGAAAATAAAGCTTTGGTCAAAACCAGCAGGTGGTACTAAAAGAGAGAAAGAATAGGAAAATGCGAAATTCAGCATAGCGGTTAAGATGGAGATAACGTGTAGATACATATGCACCACTGACATCGATTCTGAGCCATATCGCTTAGTCTGCATCTCCCAACGTGGCTTAAACCAATGGCCAAAGACTACATGGACTGGTGCCATGTTTTAGTCTGGCTGCCCTGAGCCTTTTTCCAGACTCAACCTACTTCAGCCAACATTGTGCGACGAGATAGACGGTGACTTTTACGTCATACCGAAATTGGTTATTGTTCTACCCTTTCCTCTTTTTTGTGACTTTCTACTTTTCTTGATTACTTTCTTCCCTATTTATCTATCTTTTACCTGGGTACATTTTACTTTGACCTGGTGACATGAAATACGGCAACACTGGCTGTCACGCAGTGATATTGCGTACCATTTTGATTCTGACTGATTGACTAACCAATGTCCCAACTTACCAGGCATATAAAAACAATTATACTGTTACGAAGCAGAGGCTTAGAAAGAGTTCTATTTGAGTGCTGTATGGAACGCGCCCCAGATAACTTTTCCCTGGACATTTTTAAGGTTTGAATTGAGATTGTAGTCAGGGAGCCGACAATGTTACTCTCGAAGAAATAGCACTTGCTGTATTCATCTTTCGAAAAAGGTTTCCGTAATGTGTTTGACAATCAGCATGATATCTGTCTGCTACCGGTAGTGTCTAAATATTGACTGTCATCTTTCTTTACAGGCTCTGCTAAATGCATTTAATTCCTGTATGCGTTGATCATGTGTTAACTCTTTGCCAGCTTCTCGAAAACTTACATGTACTGCTAGCCAACGATTGTTGTACTTCTCAATATTAGGGTTTCCTTCATCTCGAACTGAGTGGTGTTAGAAAGGGGTCCCTGAAAAGTTTGTTAGCATTTTGAAAGCTGTATATAAGAATAATTTAGGTAGACTAAGAGGATACCACCATATCTCATTGTTCCAAACTAACAGTGAGACTAGACAGGGTTATACGATTTTGGCATTCCTCTTTCACCTTGTCATTGATGACATTCTCGAGACACTTCTAAAGATGTGTGTTTGTGATGTAGACCTTTTTACCTAGAGTATACAAGGGATATCTTTTTACTGTGTGACAACATTCAGGCAACTCAGATCACAATGTTTCCATAAATATGGTATGTTCTTTGCACCGTGGCATTGCAAAGTGCTTTTAGAAGATTGGCAGCAGCGCTTACCTGCAGTTACCCTTTTTGGTGAATAGCTAGGAACTGTCAAAAAGTGTGTTCCTGGGTAGTTGTGTATGCGCTTGTGGAGGTGTGGCTGATAAGATTTCCAACTGTATTTAGAAAAGCAGAGCAGTATATGCCAATATGAGTCGCCTTTAAAGTGACGTTAACCTTGCCGTAAAACGTCAGAAGTACGACGCATTGATGAAGGCACTTTTTCTCGTCGCCTGCATAAGTTATCTTTCCCAGCTAAGGGCGTTTAAAGATATTGTGTCTTCGATCACCACTGTCTCCATAGGATTGCTGGCATTTGGTGGAAACACAAAACCGCCAATTTTTATGTAAGGCGACATGTGTTTGCCAGCAGATAAACTGTAAAAAGCTATGCTCGACTTGAGTATGAGCGATAGAAGAATTGTAATATCTAGTTGACTCAACAGTTACCAAACACTAGGGTGACCTCTTCAGAACAACTTATTGAAACATTAAAGAGTTGTATTCGTTGTGTAAACAGTCACTAAAATTACATCAAAGCCAAGATAATTCAGCAAATATACATAACCTTTTATAACTTAAATGAAAGTAGCTGAAACACAGATTAACTGGGTGTCTGAATAGCGATTACAAATAATAATTTTCAAAATGAGTCAAAAAGTTCGAAGAGATATCAAAGCTCCATGAGAGTCGGCAGACTTTTGGTAGGATAGTAGAGACTAGTTCGAGGAACATGCAGCCTGGTGGCAACATTATTGAGACTACCGGGTTAGCGATATACTCTCATACAGAAGTTTCCAAATTCCTTTCATATCCGCTCACAAATGGAAATATATCTAGCGTTGCATAAATCTGTTTCCAGAACTCTGATGATTGGACATTTACACTTTAGTGATTATTTCAGTGTTGTTGCTTTTATTATCCCGTCGCTGATTGGGTTGAATTGATGTCTATGATGGCAAATGGGCTCCTGCGCGGATGCCTCGATATTGCTTGTATTTCATCTATATATTTATGATGGATAGTGGCTAGCAGTGGAATCCGGGACGTACAACAACATTAGAACTATATTCGTTGCTATCATTGCTCGGTGGTCTAGTGGAAAACGCTCTGGCGTTTGAAGCAGTCGGTCCCGAGTTCGAGTCGCAGTGGGAGGCAGACACACCCAGTTGACGAATCCCAAATAGGACGAAACGTGCATCTTGGATTCCATTGCTAGACACTATCCATCATGAATGTTTAGTTATTATTCTGTACCAGCAAACGCTTTGTTTTTCTCTTTTTTTGTCACCTTACTAATTTTATACAGGTTTTATTTTCTTAAATCCCAAGAAAAGTTGCATATTCAGATTGCTTAACATCCTTTTCCTTTTAATTTTCTTGTATCCTTTAATCGTACAGCATAATCCCAGTCGTGTCAACAATTATTTAACAAACAATAAAAGTAATACATCTACAGTATTTGGATATACACCACCAAAAAGTAACCAACTGATTAATAGCGATCGAGATAACAAATACTACCACACTACTTCTTCACCGCCATTATCGAATGATCAGTTGTCGAATTTGAGCCAGAATTTCTCTAACATCAAAATTAAACAAGTATGTTGCTTTTCCTTTGATTCTCTTTTCTACTTGGATCATGTGTTGGTTCAATCAAACTTTAGCTATGGCCAATCATTTTCTGGTTAGTCCTGAATCTAACTGACCAATCACGCTCTAGTTCATCCTGAACCTAATTGGTTAATCATGTGAACACTTGGATAGAACACTATTGTAAAGAATTTAAGAAAGGTTTATTATCGAGATATCGCACATTTGTATAACATAGAACACAAATATTTCTAACTTTCGTTCAGGTCAATTAAATTGAACGATGAACAGTGACCAAGAGCTTTGATGCTTGGTTGTAGAGGTTTTATTTATAGTAATGTGTTCCGCCCAGGAGTTCCAAACTACAATGAAACAGCTGTCCAATGCATCCAAGTTTCTAATGGTTCTCTGATTGATGTTGATCCGCGATGAAAGCCTATTTGAAATAAACTCCACTATGTTTTGTCTCTGTTCCCACAATCATCCTGTTGTCATATCCTCATCTAACGCTATTGACCGCAATTATGTATCTACCGAAATGCATACGAAAATCTGCACTACCTGAAAATGAATGAGTGACTTGAACAATGTCAAGTATTTTAATGATGGATAGTGGCTAGCAGTAGGATCCAGGATGCGCATTTCGTCCTATTTAAGACTCTGACGTTTGAAGCGGCCGAGTTCGAGTCCCGGTGGCAACAAAATCACTCACTGGGAGGTAGGTGCGTCCAGCTGAAGAGCCTTAAAAGGGACGAAATGCGCGTTGTAGAGTCTACTGCTAGCCACTATCCACCATTAGTATATAATTAAAACACAGGTAATATCGAGGCATCCGCACTGAAGCCCATATGCCAATAGAGACCGATCAATTTAGTCCAATCAACAACGAGGTAATACAAGCAACAACGCTAATATTAAGTATTATCAGGGGTGAAGAAATGCACAGCCAGGTCATTTACAGTCGGTTATTCATTGCTCTCACTCACCCCACATACTTTGGCCTGGACAAACCGATAGTATCATAAGCCTTCACAGAATAATTGTTACTCATAGCCTATTACATAAGCATGTAACGGGTTGAGTTGAATTACATCCTTATCGAAATAGAATTTAAGGCTGTAACACATCTATTTTGGTTTTGACGACTTTAGGTATGTGTAATAAGTGTTCATATCTGAATGGAGCTCAACAGTATTGGGCCTGAAAAGGTCCTGTAATTTTTCAATATTTCTGTACCGTTTGTAATTGTTTCTCTATTTTACTCTAGTTTAAAATATTTCTCGCCCCTGTAGCAAAAGTAGTCAGTCAGTTTGACTCTAGCGATGGTATACATATTAAGAAATGGTGTGTTGCATTGTGATTCTTACAAGTACACGTATTTTGCAAAATAATAATGTCATTCACTTTCTAGAATCTGTCTACTATAACCTTTTTATACTATACATATGCGAGATGTAATGTATAGATTAAACGGATATTCACGTTCCCCACTGCGTTAACTAATTGTGTTGGAAAGAACAATTAAAGGTACCTATCTACGGTTTTGTCTACCAATCATAAATTGTGTGAGTGGACAACTTTTGCTACACTTGAAACGGTGAATATTGAAATGTACCAGTGAACTTCAACCATATGTTTATTAGGAAAGTCTTCATCCTTCGAATTACTAAATAAAGGATATACATATTCGATACAATTCGAAAAAGCACTTGTTCGTAACTTCCTACAGTTTTGTTTGACCCTAGACGTCTACTCACAGTTTCATGTTATTTAAACGAAATATTCATGTTGCATGAAAGGTATTGATTGGTTAAGGGTTATGCTCTTATCGACTGATTTCCGTTTATGTATGAACTGAATAAAAATATAATTATACACAGAGAAGTAGGTTCATGATTTAACACTTCAACTGTATTGATTTTTTGTAAAATAAAAAGCGTTTCGGTATTGTGAACTAAAACTGTCCCACGATTCATTGAGACGTATTGTTTTCATGGTGAAAGCCACATTACTGAATAGGTTTTATTTCGATTGTATGCACGATAGCTTCACAAATATAACTTATTTTTAAAGCATATATTTAGCACCAAGTTCGAACTCTGCTTCACCTACTGAGGTTCGGTTAACTAGGTAATATTACTAGCCCTCACACAATAAGTGTGGCCGATTGCCTATTGCACGCATGTGCACGAAGTGGCTGAGCTTGTTTTGTTTTGGTGCTACTAAACCGTGTGCTAAAGATACTACTACTGAACAACTTGAGTAGTTAGAGACCACTTAGTTTGATTTGTAGATTTTGGCAGCCAGATCTAGATCATGAGTCATATACCCGGATCTGGCTAGCTGACTTAAGTGCATTTTGCTGAACAATCCACATATAAGACGGTATGGATAAACTACAAAAGCACGTTCTTAGTGCATTTTACTCAATTTTTAAAAAATATCCTAGGGAGGGAGTAAAACTTAGGCACTACGGTAGATTGTGTGTATGCCAAATTGTTAGATAAAAATAAAATGCGTATCTTTAAACCAGTTTACAAATATTACCTTAGTAACGAGTAAAATTAGTCATATGCTCATATACCTTCCCTGAAATTCTTTCTCTTCATCATAGTGGTTATATACTTCGATATGAATTCAACTCTTTAACTCTAAGACCGACTAGACACTAAACCGTACAACTATTTGATCTGTACACTAAATCTTTCCCAAAATTCGTAGTCAAAAGTTTGACCTTTTTTCATGTACATTGTAATTAACGTGAAGGTTTCTAACAGATCTATGTAAGCTTATACCAGCTCAGAGAATACAACATCAAAACATATGTTAATATTTGTAAATGACATTAAAAAATGATAATAGGAACATGTGACCGAAGCCAGTACACATATCCGAGGTTCAATGTGAGTGGGACAATAATTTTTTAGATGGTGATAAAATATTATACGTACGACTACTTCAATAGGGTTCTTCGAAAATTTCAACAAAAATTCTTCAACTATTTCTCGGATACCCTTTTTAATTTGTTCGGCTAACCGAAATCCCTTACTTGTGAAGTGATATATGCTGTATCTGCCCTTCGGGACTACGTAACATTTTAGTAATCAGAAATTAAAGTCAAATTTAAACAATAGTCATTGGAACAGTTAATAATTATAAATGCATATTGATCGAAATCTCAAAAAACTATCTGAGTTGTATCAGCAACTATCAGGTTATGAACTGAACAGAACTACAAAATATCCTTTCATTTCAACTACAGAGTTTAACCCAGCCACTGTGTATACTTGTGACAAATCGCAGATATTTTTCAAGTTGGTATTCATCATGGGCTGACATCAGTTGGAGAAACGTTGGAAACCTGGGAACATTGGAGAGCTGTTCCGTCCTGGTATGAGACTCTTCAGCAGTGCGCACCCGCGACCCCATCGGGGTTCGAACCCGTGACCTTCGAGTTCCGTGGCCAGCACGTTACCAATGTTCCTCCAAGTGCTGTCAGTCCATGATAAATACCAATTTGAAAAAACCTCTAAATCCTTACAAACGCTTAGGGCAGTTAAATTGAAGATAACATCAAATGATGACCAAAAAAAATACTCAGTTAAAATAGTTAAGAAGTAATTTAAAATACAATTGTTACATTCGTCATTCAGTGTTTTTTACGAGCTAATATTATCCAACTTTCTGATCTATGCTGGACTCAGCAAACGCGTAATAGCTGGCATTCTATGCTGTAATTCTCTGTCTATTGTCTTATGGCTATCGATACTATGCAGTTGAAATAGATAGAATCGGTTTAAGTTAAAGATGTAATTATATAACGAGTTGTTCCTGAACCAGTAAACCATACCATCCGTTAAAAACACGTGCGCTGCAAAAGCATTGCGATGCACTCGTACTATTTCAGTTTATTCTTGTTGTTTTCATGTATTAATATTTACTTTATTCGATGATCAAAGTTTAGTCATCTTTACAACTAGTTCTTTTGGTTCCAAGCACTGATATGCCTTGTGCATGTGTGTTAAGTATGCCTTGTTTAGGTTATCATTATCTAAGATACAAGCAAGATTTAAACCAATATAACCATTTCGCGCATTTATCATATCTTTTCTTTTCAAAATATATGTTTCATAAGTCGAAGTGATGTCTGATATTTTTTGTGCTTATGTGAATGTTTTATACATTATTGCATAACCCATCTCACATGTGCACACACAAATATGCACAGTCATATTGACAAAGTAATACACTTTTTATGATATTCCATACCAGCATAGACAAGATTACAGAACTATGCATGTTCAAGATTGCTGAACATGAATTAGATATAGTAGTGTTTTTTTTTGTTTTTCATCATTCTGGATTGCATGTGTCTACGTTTTCGTTTATCTTTGGCGTCTAGACGGATGTTGACTCTTGTTCATTTGCAGTTACTTTGGAAGATAGATTTCTAATGACGCAAGATTTCTGTTTACACTTCGTCTTTCTGACAGACAAATCCGTCATGTATCAACAATTTTTAGTTATTTGCTATTGCATCTGAAAACAACTGTCTATGCATCCATTACTAGTAGGTTATATTTCTTTACTTGATTACGATTGTGTATAAATGACTTCTCTCTCTCTCTCTCTCTCTCTCTCTCTCTCTTCCAACTGGTAACTGAGCTCCATTATGGTTATGCTGGTTTTCCATAACTAAAAAGATCAAACAATAAACGACAGTATCAACGTTTAGTTAACCTAATAGATAATCAACCACTCTACCATTCAGTCTACTTATACTTAATTTGTATCGTCAAAAAAAATGTTTTGGTTAGTGAGTTTTAAGGATAAAATATAAGCATGTATCTGTTTTTTCCGTTTAGACAATAATTATTGGCAATAGTGGAGTTCATCTCTGGCTGGTAAACTGATTTTACTGCTCACTTCCTAATGGGATTGTGATTCATTAATTTAGGGAGTTGGTTTTCAACCAGTGGGTCGTGAGTTTGGATACCACACCACTTATC